ATTGTAAAAATATAGCAAAGGGTGTGTGTGTATATATATACATACATACATACATACATACATACATACGTACGTACGTACAGACATGCATACATACATACATACATACATACATACGTACATACACGCACGCACGCACGCACGCACGCACGCACGCACGCACACACACACACACACACACGCACGCACGCACGCACACAGACACAGACACAGACACAGACACAGACACAGACACAGACACAGACACAGACACAGACACAGACACAGACACTGACACAGACACAGACACAACAGACACAGACACAGACACAGACACAGACACAGACACAGACACAGACACAGACACACACAGACACACACAGACACACACACACACGCACACACACACACACACATACACACACACACACATCCCTTAGAGATCCTTAGGGAATCCTCCGGAATCCCCGAGGAATCCTGCGGAAACCCTAGGGATCCTGAAGGAATCGTAGAGAATCCGTAGGAGTCCTTGAGGAATCCTTCGGAATCCCGAGGGAATCCTTAGGGAATCTTTCGGGTACCCTGAGGGAATCCCGTAGGGAATCTTTCGGGTATCCTAAGGACTCCTATGAGAATCATTAAGGAATCTTTCAGGAATTCAAAAGAATCTTTTTGGGAATCCTTAGGAATCCCTAGGGAATGCTAAAGAATCCTCAGGAATCGTTCGGAAATCTTAGGAAATCAGGAGCAATCCCGGGTGAATCCTATGGAACCCCTTGGCAATCCTTAGGACCCCCTAAGGAATACATTGGAATCCCTTGGAATCCTTAGGAATCCGTGAGGAATCTTTAAGAATCCGCCAGAAATCCTTAGGAATCCCTGGGGAATCCTTAGCAAACGTATGGGGGAAACCTCCAGGAAAGCAAAGGGAAATCTGTAGGAATCCCTATAGGGAATCCTCAGGAATCCCTCGGGGATCTTTAAGACTCCCTATAGGGAATCCGCAGGAATCCTCCGGGAATCCTTCAGCGAGCCTTCAGGAACACTTCGGAATCCCGAGGGGATCCCTAGGGAATCCATAGGAATCCTTCGGGAATCCTTAGGAATCCCTAGGGAACCACCCAATCTTTCAACTTTTCGAATTTCAGCGGAGTTGGGAGTGTCTATTTTTGGGTTCGGCCAAGAATTCGGCGCGCGCCGAATCCATCAGTATCTACTTTTTTCGCACCAGTTTCTATTCATTTTGTTGAGTTTCTATCTTTAAAAAGCTGATCCCGTATCTTTTTTTGGTAACAATATTTTTCACGTGTCTATTTTCATTTGGTCACACGAATTGCATATCAAAACGACATAAAATTAGACTCGCGTTTCGCGCGCTCCGACTCAGGTGCGTTGCGGCTTCGCCATAGCAGGCGCGCGCCAAAAATAAACACTACCAGTATCCATGTTTTGTCTACTAGGGCTGCGCCCAGCCGCCGCTTCGGCCGAGGATGGGTTCCCACCCCCGGCCCGGACGCAAGGGTTTCCCCCTGCGCCCGGCCGCCGTTTTCTTCCACTCTGAAGCGCAAGCCGACTCCGCTCAGATTCCCGTTGTGTTGCCCTCGGCCCGCGAGCCAACGGGGGGCGACATCGAGCGCCCCCTCCCGCGCGGAAATAGCCTGAAGGAGGCCTCCCAGAGGTCCCACGGGGCCCAAAATACACCCAAAGAGTTCCCCAAGACGCGTCAAAGTGACCCCAAGGAAATTCCAATCGCCTCCAAGAGGCGTCGAAAGGCATCGAAACTGCCTCTCTCAGGCCCCAAAGCCGCCAACCACGAGCGTCCAACCAAAATCCACGACGCATCTGACACACCACCCAGCCACATTGGCCAGACACGCCGAAAGCTACAAGATAGCACCATGAAAGCCCAAAAGCACCCCCCACACACAACATCAATAAGGCCCGAACAACCCACACTCATTCATGGTTCGCCTCAAGCTCGATATGTTTTCATTTCGTACAAACTAACCACCCAAAGTTCCACTACGCCCTGCCTCACTTCGCCGTTTCCTCTAGCGCGGTGGCGGATATGCGCGGCAGCGCAATTCGATATTTCAACCCACGACCCCGACCATGCATATTTGGCGGGGATTCCACAGGCGAGACCCAAGGAAACTCGCATTGGGGAGAAGTTGCGCAAGAGCTCGCAACAAACATCGACACATAATGTAGCACAGCCGATCTCTCCGAACGATCATGCGCGACGCAGGTGGCACGCGCGCGCCCCGAACGTTCACAAGCATGCGTATTCCTAGTGTTTTCCCGATGATCCAGATCGCTCACCAAGAGAATCACAATCAGCGAACACGACGATTGGGAAAGAAGAAGGAAAAGGAACAGAAAAAGAGGAGGGGGGTCAAGAGAAAGAAAAAGAAAAAAAAGGAAAGAGAAGCGCCCAGAATAAACAGGAGGAATCAAAGAAGAACGAGGATGATCAGGGGGACGAGGACGGAGACGAAAAGGAGAAAGAGAAGAAACAGGCTGACAAGGGAAAAGGAGACGAAGAGGAGAGGAAAACGCGGAGGAACAGTTCGCCTTCTGAGGCCAGCCTACAGGCCATCCTACAGGGCATCGTGTTCGCCGCAACCACTCCCCCTCAAACACCTGTCTCCCTCTCCCCCCCACGGTGACCGACGAATGCCAGTCATCGATGCGCATTCACAGAACGGCTGTTTTAGGATGGGCTGGCGGGGATTCGCGAAACGTCAACAATTCCCCGTCCGCTCGCCCCAAGGAGCCCGTCAAAGCGGGAGCGCGTGCGCAGGGTGATCTGGTAGGGCAGCGCTGCCCCTGCCGTGCCGTGCCGGGCCAACGCGAATCTCATGATCTCGCCAGCATGGGCGCCGTGTCGGAGCTCACCCTCATGCGACCCCAACGCCAACCATGCACCTCCGACGGTCCGCAGATGATCCACGCACGCTTCGCAAGCGACACGGCGCCCCTCCTCTGACGCCAACGCCTGATCACACCATCCCAAAAAGGCCAAGAGCTGAAAGATACAGTCCGCCAGGGTCGCGCCAGCTCCGTGTCCCAGACCGCAACCAACGCGGCGGCCTGATCCTGCCATGTCCTCAGTTCGTTCATCGTCGGTCTTTGCCTCGAACGCCGACGCCCCCATCAAAAACTCTATGAATTTCACCGCGCGGTCTTCCACCACGCGGCGCCGATCCTCCACGTCGTGAGCGCCCAGCAGCTCTTTCCGCGCGACACTCCACCCTCGCCACTCACGAACCCACTTCTCTCTCATGACGCGCAGCAGTGGCGCCGTTTCACCGCGCGCTCTCCACAGATGCGCGTGCAGCTCTGTAGGCGCGAATTCCAGACCACGGAATCCCCCGCGCTTCGGGCTCCTCACGCGCACTCCGCGGAAGACGTTTGGTGTCCGTTCCATGGGAGCCTGCGTGGCCCCCGGCACTATCCAATTTGGGCCTGATTTTGACCAGATTCGGAACAAATTTGGATCGGATTTGGACCAGACTTGGACTGGACTCGTGGGGGCTAGGAGAACGAGGAGGGGGAGGCGGAACAGGAGGGGAAAGGAGGAGCAGGAGGATGGGCCAAATGCAGTCCCCACGCTGTCCACATGCAGGAGAAGCTGATTTCAATGTCGCCGTCCAAGGCTCCCATGAACAGACATCGAAAAGACGCAATGCGCGCACATCAGCTTCTCGGATGACGCGCACTGGTGCCAAGAGATCACCAGGAAGGACATGAACTGCTCGCTCGCGTCCTGGCCTGTCGGCCACGCCCTCCATAATGGGCCCCTGCGCGTTCTCTTTCGCGGTCGTCGCCGTGCAAGAGGTCGCAGTCGCGCTGTCACCGCCTTCCTTGTCCCTTCTCTGACCGCCGCCAGCCTGGGCCAAATCCGTTCGATGCCCGTTCCTTTTTCCTCCCCGGACACCACCGCCGACCGTCGCAGCCGGACCGGTCCCATGAGCAGGCCCCGCCGACGTCTCTTTGTGCGCGCCCACTCCTCCGTCGTTCACATCGGCAGCTGCTACGTTGACACCGTCTCCTGCGCACTGGCCGCCGCACTCTGCCCCGTCGCTGCATTCTCTCCCGTTCCAGGCAGCCACCAGCACCTTCTTCCCTGTCCGACTACTGTTTCCGCCACTGCGCGCGCTGCCGCTGTCCCGCCCACGCACCGCGACGATTTTCACTTCCATGCGCGGCGGAGATGGCGTTTTTCTTGGAGGTTCCGGCGCACCTTGGTCCCACAATAAAAGTCGGTGCGTCCGTCGGTCTCCTTAAAGGGCCGCAGGAATTTCAGATCTTAAGAATGTGGACAATACCGAAGTCCGCGCGCGCGCGCGGGGAGATCTGCGTTGTCCATAATAGAAAAGTCGGTGCGTCCGTTGGCCTCCGTAAAGGGCCACATCAATTTCAAATTCAATTTTAAGAATTACATGGCGGCTTTTCATATGTAAACAATACAGAATTCCGCACGCGCGCGTGCGGACGCGCGCGCGTGGAGAGTTCTGTATTGTCCACAATAGAAAAGTCGGCGCGTCCGTCGGCTTCCTTAATAGGCCAATGAAATTTCAAATTCAGCGTTTGGACTTACATGGCGGTTTAAGATTGTGGACAATACCGAACTCCGCACGCGCGCGCGCGTGGGGAGATCTGTGTTGTCCACAATAGATAAGTCGGTGCGTCCGTCGGCCTCCTCAAAGGGCCACGGAAATTTCAATTCAGTTTTTGGAATTACATGGCGGCGTTCCCACTGTGAACAATGCTGAACTCCGCACGCGCGCGCGTGGGGAGTTTTGTATTGTCCACAATCGAAAAGTTGGTGCGTCCGTCGGCCTCCTTCAAGGGCCACAGAAATTTCAAATTCAGCGTTTGGAATTACATGGCAACTTAAGTTTGTGGACAATACCGAACTCCGCACGCGCGCGCGTGGGGATATCTGTGTTATCCACAATAGAAAAGTCGGTGCGTCCGTCTGCTTCCATAAAGGGCCACATACATTTCAAATTCAGTTTTTTGAGTTACATGGCAGCCGGCACTCCGCACGCGCGCGCGCGGACGCGCGCGCGCGTGGGGAGATCTGTGTTGTCCACAATAGAAAAGCCGGTGCGTCCGTCGGCCTTCTTAAAAGGCCACAGAAAGTTCAAATTTGGTTTTTGGAATTGACCCCTCTCGGTTTTCCGGAGAGGGGGAGGGGTGGGAGAGGGTTTTGCCGCGGGGAAGGGGGTGGAGGTCCAGCAGGGGAGGGGAGGGGATTTTCCGAGGGGGCAGGGGGGGAAACCCGGGTTCCGGAGGAAAAGGGGGGGGAATGTTACACAGTAAAGCGGCGGTGGATCACGCTCTCTCCGATATCTCGATAAACGTTTCTTCTATTGACCTAGGCCGCTCGTTTCCTCCTTCTTCTGATGGGGGGTCTTCTGGAGCGGGGCTATCTGGGCAGTCTTGGAGGGCTACGCTCGCTGAGAAAAATGGTGCGAGCCTGGATCTCGGGGCTTCCTCTGGCGGCGCCCAGTTGGTAGGCGCCTCCAGTGTTTTAAACGTCGCCTCCATTCAACTGGCCGGCGCTGAACTGTGGATCGGACTCTGGCTACCTTCTCGGCGAAGGCTGCGGCGAGACCCCCAGAAAATACGACAGCGGTTGATCGGACTCTGGCAAACTTCTCGGCGAAGGCTGCGGCGAGACAGCGGTTGATCGGACTCTGGCAAACTTCTCGGCGAAGGCTGCGGCGAGAACCCCAGAAAATACCACAGCGATTGATCGGACTCTGGCTCACTTCTCGGCGAAGGCTGCGGCGAGAACCCCCAAGGTCCGTCGAGGTCCTCGAGGACGTGACCCTCGTCCCTGTCAAAGAGCGACATGCTCATGATGCTCCCGAACTTCCAGGACCGCGCCCCGCGCCGCTCGATCAGCGGCCTGATCATGTACTCGGGGTAGGTGCGGTCGGGTCCGCTCTGGCCGTGGATCGAAACAGTGGCCGTCGCGTGGCGGACGTCGACGCCGTGCGGGTCGTCGTCGTCGTCGTCGTCGCTGGAGCACAAGGGCGACATCGAGGGGGAGGCCTCTGGGGACAGGATCCGCCTCGGTCTCGGCGACGGGATGATGTCCCTGGGCTCTGGCCCGCTCGCGGGCTCCACGACCGTGCCCGTGAGGAAGCCCTGCTCCGCTCCCAGGTACACCTGCACGGGCATGCCGCGGTCGAAGCGCCTCCGGAGGCGCCTGCCCGGCATGCTCTTGAGCACGGGCAGGTCCTCCTCCTGCATCGGGCTGCTCTCGGGGTTGCTGCTGGGGTTGCCGTCCTCCTGTCCGATGGGCAGCCGCGGGACCTGCGCCGGCCTGCTGCTCGTCAGCGCGTCGCCGCCGGGCGGGGACACCTGTGGCACCGAGTCGAGCTCCACGCTGCCGCCGACGTCCTGATCCCTGTTCCTCCTCGGCCGCTTGCGGCTTCCGCGGCCTGGTCTCTTCTCGTACTGGGTCCCCTGGAGCTCCTTCTGGGCCTTGAGCTGCCTGGCGTGCTCCAGCATCTCCGTCTTGAGCTCGCTGGGCTCCAGCGCGACGTCGTACCCGAGCCTTGGGTCCCGCGCCTCCCTCGGCGCCGCGTGTATGATGGCCGGGTACCAGTCCCCGTGCTTCTTGGAGAACACGCTCACCTTCTCACTCACACTGAACGGCAAGCGCAGGTCCTTCATGTCCACGTTGGGTACGCGCTGTCTGGCGGCCATTACAAAAAGGTCGTACGTGAAGACGTTCATGCCGTGCTCCTCGCTATGGTAAGGCTGGCCCCTGATGTCCATGACCCTCGAACCTAACCACGAGTTCGTGGTCTTAGACCAATACTCCACAGCGTCGCCGATCGCGTATGCAGTCGCTGTGCCCTTCTGCTCGGGCGCTGCCTCCGGCTCCGTCATGATCACGGTCTCATCCGCCCTGGGCGCCTTCGGTGTCGCTCTCTTCATCATGGCATCCTCGGTGTCTACGTGCAACTGGTAGGAGACCCACTCCATTTTGTCCAGACCCTTGATCCACTGGCGTTCCTTCCAGATGATCCGGTAGAAGTCGCCGTCGAAGAGAACCTCGTCCGACTGCTCCTCCAGCGGCAGCACCTCCACGCCGCAGCCGCGCAGCTGGTCGAGGAGCGGCAGGACCTCGTTGCACTTCTCGTCCCGGGGGGCGCTCGGGGAGCCCAAGACGAGCTTGCACTCTGGGGCGTCTGGGGACCCCCGCAATCCCCTGGCGTCCTCCTCGCCGTCGACCTTCAGGACGTACTCGTCCTGCTCCGCGTCGTAGAGGACCGAGATGTCGTGCGGGAGGCCGTCGGCCACGCGCGTGCTGGATAGCAGGAACTCCTCGCCGATCTGCCAGGCGGCGACGCCCCCGCGGATCAACAGGCCTTTCGCCTTCCCGACGGGTCGCATCGGCTCGACCTCGGGGTAGACCTTGGCGACGAGCAGCGCGTTCGTGGCCAGGGTCCTCACTCGGACCTCGAGCTCGAACTCCACCTCGCCGCCCAAATTCAGATCCACGTGCTCGATGGGCTCCCCATCGCTCGGCGTCAGGGTGGCGCGGCCCGCCTCCCGCTCGTGCTGGAAGAAGGCGAAAAGCCCATCGCCGAACGAGTACTTGAGCCTCGGCTTGGTAACGCCGTCCTCGGTGGAGAGGCCGTCTTCCAAGTTCCAGTCGACAATGGTGCTCCTGCTCTCGCGGCCCTTCACCTTTACGCGGAACCTGCCGCCGACGGGCTGCCTGCACATGTTCCTGACGTACCGGATGGATAGGAAGCAGCAGATGGCGGAGGAGAAGGCGATGGCCGCGGACACTAACCCCGCCTGTACCTCGCAGCCTTCGCCTGTCTCCTCGTCTGGGCCGCTGGGGCACGTCCAGTCGTACGGGCACTGGATGTACGACTTGCATGGGAGCGAGCTTGGCTCGAACGAGTCCTGCGTGAAACCTGGGGGCGCGTTTGCGTTGCACAGGTTGGTGTTGCCGGTCAGGCAATCGACGTCGCGGGTGACTTCGCCCTCGCCGCACGTCGTGCTGCAGACGGACCACTCTGTCCTGGCAGCCCAGCGCGCCACGGGCACGCTCTCGAGAGTGGTCACGGGCTTCCCGGCGACGACCGCGGCCGTGGGGAGCCCCGCCGGCACCGCGACGCCGACCTCCTGCAAGAAGCTGACGAAGCTACCGGTGAAATTGCTCGTCCCGAGGTCGGCCAGGCCACCCTCGACCGTCGTGCGGTCGTTCATCGGGTACAGCTGGAGCGACAGTTTGACGAACAGCCCCTCCTCTCCTGTCAAACGCCTCGCTGGAATGCCAGACGCTGAGTCTGAGTTCAGGTCCTTCATCTCCAGCAAATAAACCTGCTCTGGGAACAGGCCTAAAACGTCGCCGAGCGCGCTCTGCATCGGAACCCTGGTCCCGCCGCCAGCCCACTCCGCCGTAATGCCCGAATTCGCCTGACTGGCAACGAACGCAATCTCCACCAGCAATACCTCGACACGTTCGAGCGCCTCCGCGTCCGCATCGGAGACGCAGACCACCGGAATCATCTCAAACGAGCCCAAGGTGCAATTGATTGGCTCAACCAGCTGATGACCGTCATCGCAAACTGGCGAGCACGACTCACGGCTCGCAGTACCAATGCAAGACGAGCTGTCGGCCACGTTCAACATGCCAGGCGGCGCGAATGCGTAGCAACGCGATTCTGTGCAAGACCCGTCACCCTTTGACAGATGGTAAGACGTGTTGGCTATACACTGAACTTCCATGGAGGTCCCAAGTAAGTTCTCGTAGCCTTCGGAACAAATTATGCTGCATGTCTCGGGGTAAAGCATGTTTACGCAATTTGCATCCTCTGTCTCATAACCGGTCGGCAATGCTGGACTGCCAACACAGGTGTCAGGCACGCAGTCAGCACGTCCCTCGAACATCTCCGTCTCGTCGCTGCAGACCATTGTCCCATTCGCAACATGCCCCACACCACAAACTGGCTCGCAAACGTCTCCATATTTAATGCCCGAGCATTCGATGCGTACTATGGTATCCAACCCCGATGATGAAGTGAAGCCGGGTCCACTTATCCCTACAGGAATACCAGCGAACATAGGGAGAGCACATACACAGCAAGTTGTGGACGTTAACGTGGAGGTCACCGACGTGGAGGTCACCGTCGTGGAGGTCAGCGTCGACGTGGAAGTCAACGTCGCTGTAGTGTACATCCAAAGTTCCACCACGGGCACCGACGATTCCACCCACTCCACGATGTCACTAGGAAGCCCTATCTCATCGAGCTCATTCTCGACAAACTCATGGAACTGCGAAGTGTTGTCATACAAACGCAACAATGCCTCTTCGGCCTCGTCCGTGTATGTACCCTCAACTGTAATTGTGTAGTCGATGTCCCACACTGGACTGGCCAATCTTCGTTGGAACGACACGCGTTTTGACGTATATCTGACGACAACGGAGTTGATCGTGACCTTCGACTGCGACATGTTCAAGAAGGTTGCAATCGCTGCACGAACAACAACTTCTACCGATGTTTCGTTTAGGGCGGTTGTGAAAGACATCGCGACATCAGCCTTGACGAAAGAAAAACGCTCAGGAGTCGCTGTGGTGGTGGTGATCGTGCCAGTGGTTACCGTATCAGTGGTTACCGTCTCTGTCCTGCTTGATGCCGTTAGGCTTGAGGCGGTCGTTGAGTGAAACGTGGTGGAGCTGGTTAATGATGACGACTCGGTTGTAGAGATTGTTGTTGTGGACGTCACGGAGGTCGATATTGTGGTGCTGGACGTCGCTGTAGTGTACATCCAAAGTTCCACCACGGGCACCGACGATTCCACCCACTCCACGATGTCACTAGGAAGCCCTATCTCATCGAGCTCATTCTCGACAAACTCCTGGAACTGCGAAGTGTTGTCATACAGACGCAACAATGCCTCTTCGGCCTCGTCCGTGTATGTACCCTCAACTGTAATTGTGTAGTCGATGTCCCACACTTGACTGGCCAATCTTCGTTTGAACGACACGCGTGTTGACGTATCTCTGACGACAACGGAGTTGATCGTGACCTTCGACTGCGACATGTTCAAGAAGGTTGCAATCGCTGCACGAACAACACCTTCTACCGATATTTCGTTTAGGGAGGTTGTGAAAGACATCGCGACATCAGCCTTGACAAAAGAAAAACGCTCAGGAGTCGCTGTGGTGGTGGTGATCGTGCCAGTGGTTACCGTACCAGTGGTTACCGTCTCTGTCCTGCTTGATGCCGTTAGGCTGGAGGCGGTCGTTGAGTGAAACGTGGTGGAGCTGGTTAATGATGACGACTCGGTTGTAGAGATTGTTGTTGTGGACGTCACGGAGGTCGATATTGTGGTGCTGGACGTCGCTGTAGTGTACATCCAAAGTTCCACCACGGGCACCGACGATTCCACCCACTCCACGATGTCACTAGGAAGCCCTATCTCATCGAGCTCATTCTCGACAAACTCCTGGAACTGCGAAGTGTTGTCATACAGACGCAACAATGCCTCTTCGGCCTCGTCCGTGTATGTACCCTCAACTGTAATTGTGTAGTCGATGTCCCACACTTGACTGGCCAATCTTCGTTGGAACGACACGCGTTTTGACGTATATCTGACGACAACGGAGTTGATCGTGACCTTCGACTGCGACATGTTCAAGAAGGTTGCAATCGCTGCACGAACAACAACTTCTACCGATGTTTCGTTTAGGGAGGTTGTGAAAGACATCGCGACATCAGCCTTGACGAAAGAAAAACGCTCAGGAGTCGCTGTTGTGGTGGTGATCGTGCCAGTGGTTACCGTACCAGTGGTTACCGTCTCTGTCCTGCTTGATGCCGTTAGGCTGGAGGCGGTCGTTGAGTGAAACGTGGTGGAGCTGGTTAATGATGACGACTCGGTTGTAGAGATTGTTGTTGTGGACGTCACGGAGGTCGATATTGTGGTGCTGGACGTCATCGACGTCGTCTCAGTGGCAGTCGTGGTGGACGTCTCTGTTTTACTCGCGGTCGTGGTGGACGTGACTGTGTAGCTCGCAGACGTGGTCGACGAGACCGTGGTTGAGGACAGCGTCGATGTTTTTGTGGCCGTCGTGGTGGACGACTGACTGGTTGAGCTGTCCGTGGTCGAAGTAACTGAGGTTGTGGTAAACGTGGTTGTGGAAAGAGTCGATGTTTTCGTGGCCGTCGTGGTGGACGACTGACTGGTTGAGCTGTCCGTGGTCGAAGTAACCGAGGTTGTGGTAAACGTGGTTGTGGAAAGAGTCGACGTCTTGGTAAAAGTCGTAGTTGAAGTCCCCGTCGCAGACGTCAAAGTGGTGGTTGAGGAAGAACTTGTGGTGATTGAAGACGTTCCGGTAACCGAAGATAGAGTCGATGTAGAGCTGACAGTCGTTGTTGACACCGTGGTTGTAGATTGAGTCGTGGTGGAGCTCTCCGTGGTAGAAGACAGGCTTGTGGTCGAGGTCTGCGTCAGAGATGTTCGAGTTGTGGACGAAGATGCACTCGTGCTGGAAGTCCCAGTGGTCGACGACAGGCTTGTGCTGGAACTGATGGTGGTGGTGGAACTCTCCGTCACTGAAGTCAAGCTTGTTCCCGAACTCGAAGAAGTAGTAGACACACTACTGGTCGACGTCAAAGTTAAACTCAATGTGGTTAAAGACGTTCCGGTAACCGAAGATAGAGTCGATGTAGAGCTGGCAGTAGCTGTTGACACCGTGGTTGTAGATTGAGTCGTGGTGGAGCTCTCCGTGGTAGAAGACAGGGTCATGGTCGAGGTCTGCGTCAGAGATGTTCGGGTTGTGGACGAAGATGCACTCGTGCTGGAAGTCCCAGTGGTCGACGACAGGCTTGTGCTGGAACTGATGGTGGTGGTGAGAGTCTTCGTCACTGAAGTCAAGCTTGTTCCCGAACCCAAAGAGGTAGTAGACACACTACTGGTCGACGTCAAAGTAAAAGTGAAACTCAATGTGGTTGAAGACGTTCCACTGGTAGATGATAAAGACGATGTAGAAGTTGCGCTGGTCGAGGTTAATGTCGTGCTTGAACTAGACGTGGACGAACTCAAGGTTTGTGATGACGATGTTGCACTTGAACTCCCAGTAGAGGAAGACAGGGTCGTGCTAGAGCTCTCCGTGGTTGAAGAAAGGGTCGTGAAAGATGTTCGGGTTGTGGACGAAGATGCACTGTCGCTGGAAGTCCCAGTGGTCGATGTCAAGCTTGTGCTGGAACTGATGGTGGCGCTGAAACTCTCCGTTGTAGAAATGAAGCTTGTGCTCGAGGTTGTCCTGGTGGTTGAAATCGAAGTGGCTGTCGAACTTGCACTGGTTGAAGATAAGGTTGTGGCAGAAGTATACGTGCCTGAACTAACAGTTCTGGACGACAGTGTGATGCTTGAACTCTCAGTAGTGGAGCTCGGTGTGAACGAAGAAAGAGAGGAGAACGTAGATACGGTAGTAAATAAACTGGTCATGCTGGTGCTGCTGAAGGTGGTGCTGCTGGTCTGGCTGGTGCTGCTACGCGTGGTGCTGCTGGTTGAGCTGGTGCTGGTTACTGTGGTGCTGCTGGTGGCGCTGGTGCTGCTGCGAGTTGTACTGCTGGTTGCCGTCGTGCTAGAAACAGTTGTGCTGCTGGTAGCGCTGGTGCTGGTGCGGGTTGTGCTGCTTGTCCCCGTCGTGGTGGTCACAGTGGTGCTGCTGGTTGCACTGGTGCTGGTGAGAGTTGTGCTGCTGTCAGTTGTGCTGGTGCGAGTGCTGGTCCTGGTGCTGCTGGTTGCCGTCGTGCTTGTATCAATGATGCTGGTCAGAGTGCTAGTGCTAGTGCTGCTGGTGCCGGTCGTCGTGGTCACAGTGGTGCTGCTGGTTGCGCTGGTGCTGGTGCGGGTTGTGCTGCTTGTGCCTGTCGTGGTGGTCACAGTGGTGTTGCTGGTTGCACTGGTGCTGGTGAAAGTTGTGCTGCTGGTGATGGTCGCGGTGGTCACAGTGGTGCTGCTGGTTGCACTGGTGCTGCTGCGCGTGGTGCTGCTGGTTGCGCTGGCGCTCGTGCGCGTGGTGCTGCTTGTTGCGGTCGTGGTGGTCACCGTTGTGCTGCTGGTGGCGCTGGTGCTGCTGCGAGTTGTACTGCTGGTTGCCGTCGTGCTAGGAACAGTTGTGCTGCTGGTAGCGCTGGTGCTGCTGCGAGTAGTGCTACTGGTTGCCGTCGTGCTGGTATCACTGGTCCTGCTGGTTGCGCTGGTGCTGGTGCGCGTTGTGCTGCTGGTGATGGTCGCGGTGGTCACAGTGGTGCTGCTGGTTGCAGTGGTGCTGCTGCGCGTGGTGCTGCTGGTTGCGCTGGTGCTGGAACGCGTGGTGCTGCTTGTTGCGGTCGTGGTGGTCACCGTTGTGCTGCTGGTCTCAGTCGTGGTGGTCACAGTGGTGCTGCTGGTGCGCTGGTGCTGGTGCGGGTGCTGCTTGTCCCCGTCGTGGTGGTCACAGTGGTGCTGCTGGTTGCACTGGTGCTGGTGAGAGTTGTGCTGCTGTCAGTTGTGCTGGTGCGAGTGCTGGTCCTGGTGCTGCTGGTTGCCGTCGTGCTTGTATCAGTGGTGCTGGTCAGAGCGCTAGTGCTAGTGCTGCTGGTGGCGGTCGTCGTGGTCACAATGGTGCTGCTGGTTGCGCTGGTGCTGGTGCGGGTTGTGCTGCTTGTGCCTGTCGTGGTGGTCACAGTGGTGTTGCTGGTTGCACTGGTGCTGGTGAAAGTTGTGCTGCTGGTGATGGTCGCGGTGGTCACAGTGGTGCTGCTGGTTGCACTGGTGCTGCTGCGCGTGGTGCTGCTGGTTGCGCTGGCGCTCGTGCGCGTGGTGCTGCTTGTTGCGGTCGTGGTGGTCACCGTTGTGCTGCTGGTGGCGCTGGTGCTGCTGCGAGTTGTACTGCTGGTTGCCGTCGTGCTAGGAACAGTTGTGCTGCTGGTAGCGCTGGTGCTGCTGCGAGTAGTGCTACTGGTTGCCGTCGTGCTGGTATCACTGGTCCTGCTGGTTGCGCTGGTGCTGGTGCGCGTTGTGCTGCTGGTGATGGTCGCGGTGGTCACAGTGGTGCTGCTGGTTGCAGTGGTGCTGCTGCGCGTGGTGCTGCTGGTTGCGCTGGTGCTGGAACGCGTGGTGCTGCTTGTTGCGGTCGTGGTGGTCACCGTTGTGCTGCTGGTCTCAGTCGTGGTGGTCACAGTGGTGCTGCTGGTTGCGCTGGTGCTGGTGCGGGTTGTGCTGCTTGTCCCCGTCGTGGTGGTCACAGTGGTGCTGCTGGTTGCACTGGTGCTGGTGAGAGTTGTGCTGCTGTCAGTTGTGCTGGTGCGAGTGCTGGTCCTGGTGCTGCTGGTTGCCAGCGTGCTTGTATCAGTGGTGCTGGTCAGAGCGCTAGTGCTAGTGCTGCTGGTGGCGGTCGTCGTGGTCACAGTGGTGCTGCTGGTTGCGCTGGTGCTGGTGCGGGTTGTGCTGCTTGTCCCTGTCGTGGTGGTCACAGTGGTGCTGCTGGTTGCACTGGTGCTGGTGAGAGTTGTGCTGCTGTCAGTTGTGCTAGTGCGAGTGCTGGTCCTGGTGCTGCTGGTTGCCGTCGTTCTTGTATCAGTGGTGCTGGTCAGAGTGCTAGTGCTAGTGCTGCTGGTGCCGGTCGTCGTGGTCACAGTGGTGCTGCTGGTTGCGCTGGTGCTGGTGCGGGTTGTGCTGCTTGTGCCTGTCGTGGTGGTCACAGTGGTGTTGCTGGAAGCACTGGTGCTGGTGAAAGTTGTGCTGCTGGTGATGGTCGCGGTGGTCACAGTGGTGCTGCTGGTTGCACTGGTGCTGCTGCGCGTGGTGCTGCTGGTTGCGCTGGCGCTCGTGCGCGTGGTGCTGCTTGTTGCGGTCGTGGTGGTCACCGTTGTGCTGCTGGTGGCGCTGGTGCTGCTGCGAGTTGTACTGCTGGTTGCCGTCGTGCTAGGAACAGTTGTGCTGCTGGTAGCGCTGGTGCTGCTGCGAGTAGTGCTACTGGTTGCCGTCGTGCTGGTATCACTGGTCCTGCTGGTTGCGCTGGTGCTGGTGCGCGTTGTGCTGCTGGTGATGGTCGCGGTGGTCACAGTGGTGCTGCTGGTTGCAGTGGTGCTGCTGCGCGTGGTGCTGCTGGTTGCGCTGGTGCTGGAACGCGTGGTGCTGCTTGTTGCGGTCGTGGTGGTCACCGTTGTGCTGCTGGTCTCAGTCGTGGTGGTCACAGTGGTGCTGCTGGTAGAGCTAGTGCTGCTAAGCGTGGTGCTGCTTGTCCCCGTCGTGGTGGTCACAGTGGTGCTGCTGGTTGCACTGGTGCTGGTGAGAGTTGTGCTGCTGTCAGTTGTGCTGGTGCGAGTGCTGGTCCTGGTGCTGCTGGTTGCCGTCGTGCTTGTATCAGTGGTGCTGGTCAGAGTGCTAGTGCTAGTGCTGCTGGCTGTGCAAGTGCAGATGGCGGGCGTCGGTGCTGGGGTCGGTGCTGGCGTCGGCGCTGGCGTCGGCGCTGGCGTCGGTGCCGGCGTAGGCGCAGGGGTTCTGCTGGTTGCGCTGGTGCTGGTGAGCGTGGTGGTGCTGGTTGCGCTGGTGTTGCTACGCGTGGTCGTGCTGGTCACTGTGGTGCTGCTGGTGGCGCTGGTGCTGCTGCGCGTGGTGGTGCTGGTCACTGTGGTGCTGCTGGTGGCGCTGGTGCTGCTGCGAGTAATACTGCTGGTTGCCGTCGTGCTGGAAACAGTTGTGCTGCTGGTAGCGCTGATGCTGCTGCGAGTGGTACTGCTGGTTGCCGTCGTGCTGGAAGCAGTTGTACTGCTGGTTGCGCTGGTGCTGGTGCGCGTGGTGGTGCTGGTTGCGCTGGTGCTGGTGAGCTGGTGCTGGTTGCGCTGGTGCGCGTGGTCGTGCTGGTCACTGTGGTGCTGCTGGTGGCGCTGGTGCTGCTGCGCGTGGTGGTGCTGGTCACTGTGGTGCTGCTGGTGGCGCTGGTGCTGCTGCGAGTAATACTGCTGGTTGCCGTCGTGCTGGAAACAGTTGTGCTGCTGGTAGCGCTGATGCTGCTGCGAGTGGTACTGCTGGTTGCCGTCGTGCTGGAAGCAGTTGTACTGCTGGTTGCGCTGGTGCTGGTGCGCGTGGTGGTGCTGGTTGCGCTGGTGCTGCTGCGCGTGGTGTGCTGGTCACTGTGGTGCTGCTGGTGGCGCTGGTGCTGCTGCGAGTAATACTGCTGGTTGCCGTCGTGCTGGAAACAGTTGTGCTGCTGGTAGCGCTGATGCTGCTGCGAGTGGTACTGCTGGTTGCCGTCGTACTGGAAGTAGTTATACTGCTGGTTGCGCTGGTGCTGGAGCGCGTGGTGGTGCTGGTTGCGCTGGTGCTGCTACGCGTGGTCGTGCTGGTCACTGTGGTGCTGCTGGTGGCGCTGGTGCTGCTGCGCGTGGTGGTGCTGGTCACTGTGGTGCTGCTGGTGGCGCTGGTGCTGCTGCGAGTAATACTGCTGGTTGCCGTCGTGCTGGAAACAGTTGTGCTGCTGGTAGCGCTGATGCTGCTGCGAGTGGTACTGCTGGTTGCCGTCGTGCTGGAAGCAGTTGTACTGCTGGTTGCGCTGGTGCTGGTGCGCGTGGTGGTGCTGGTTGCGCTGGTGCTGCTGAGCGTGGTGGTGCTGGTCACTGTGGTGCTGCTGGTGGCGCTGGTGCTGCTGCGCGTGGTGGTGCTGGTCACTGTGGTGCTGCTGGTGGCGCTGGTGCTGCTGCGAGTAATACTGCTGGTTGCCGTCGTGCTGGAAACAGTTGTGCTGCTGGTAGCGCTGATGCTGCTGCGAGTGGTACTGCTGGTTGCCGTCGTGCTGGAAGCAGTTGTACTGCTGGTTGCGCTGGTGCTGGTGCGCGTGGTGGCGCTGGTTGCGCTGGTGCTGCTGCGCGTGGTGGTGCTGGTCACTGTGGTGCTGCTGGTGGCGCTGGTGCTGCTGCGCGTGGTGGTGATGGTCACTGTGGTGCTGCTGGTGGCGCTGGTGCTGCTGCGAGTAATACTGCTGGTTGCCGTCGTGCTGGAAACAGTTGTGCTGCTGGTAGTGCTGATGCTGCTGCGAGTGGTACTGCTGGTTGCCGTCGTGCTGGAAGCAGTTGTACTGCTGGTTGCGCTGGTGCTGGTGCGCGTGGTGGCGCTGGTTGCGCTGTTGCTGCTGCGCGTGGTGGTGCTGGTCCACTGTGGTGCTGCTGGTGGCGCTGGTGCTGCTGCGCGTGGTGGTGAATGGTCACGGTTGGTGCTGCTGGTGCGCTGGTGCTGCTGCGAGTAATACGCTGGTTGCGTCGTTCGGGAAAAAGTTTTGTGCTGCTGGTAGTGCTGATGCTGCTGCGAGTGGTACTGCTGGTTGCCGTCGTGCTGGAAGCAGTTGTACTGCTGGTTGCGCTGGTGCTGGTGCGCGTGGTGGCGCTGGTTGCGCTGTTGCTGCTGCGCGTGGTGGTGCTGGTCACTGTGGTGCTGCTGGTGGCGCTGGTGCTGCTGCGAGTAATACTGCTGGTTGCCGTCGTGCTGGAAACAGTTGTGCTGCTGGTAGCGCTGATGCTGCTGCGAGTGGTACTGATGGTTGCCGTCGTACTGGAAGTAGTTGTACTGCTGGTTGCGCTGGTGCTGGAACGCGTTGTGCTGCTGGTGCTGGTCGTGCTGGAAACAGTTGTACTGCTGGTTGCGCTGGTGCTGCTGCGCGTGGTGGTGCTGGTCACTGTGGTGCTGCTGGTGGCGCTGGTGCTGCTGCGAGTAATAGTGGTACTGATGGTTGCCGTCGTACTGGAAGTAGTTGTACTGCTGGTTGCGCTGGTGCTGGAACGCGTTGTGCTGCTGGTGCTGGTCGTGCTGGAAACAGTTGTACTGCTGGTTGCGCTGGTGCTGCTGCGCGTGGTGGTGCTGGTCACTGTGGTGCTGCTGGTGGCGCTGGTGCTGCTGCGAGTAATACTGCTGGTTGCCGTCGTGCTGGAAACAGCTGTGCTGCTGGTAGCGCTGATGCTGCTGCTAGTGGTACTGCTGGTTGCCGTTCGTTGCTGGAAGCAGTTGTTACTGCTGGTTGCGCTGGTTGCTGCGTTCGCGTGGTGGTGCTGGTTCCGCTGTTTGCTGGTGGAGCGTGGTGGTTGCTGGTCACTGTGGTTGCTGCTGTGGCGCTGGTTGCTGCTGCGCGTGGTGGTGCTGGTCACTGTGGTGCTGCTGGTGGCGCTGGTGCTGCTGCGAGTAATACTGCTGGTTGCCGTCGTGCTGGAAACAGCTGTGCTGCTGGTAGCGCTGATGCTGCTGCTAGTGGTACTGCTGGTTGCCGTCGTGCTGGAAGCAGTTGTACTGCTGGTTGCGATGGTGCTGGTGCGCGTGGTGGTGCTGGTTGCGCTGGTGCTGCTACGCGTGGTCGTGCTGGTCACTGTGGTGCTGCTGGTGGCGCTGGTGCTGCTGCGCGTGGTGGTGCTGGTCACTGTGGTGCTGCTGGTGGCGCTGGTGCTGCTGCGGTTAAAATTTTGCATATGCCGTTACGTGCTTGGGAAACAGTTGTACTTGCTGGTTGCGCTGGTTGCTAGTGACGCGTTGGTGGTGCTGGTTGAGCTGGTGCTGGAGAACGTGGGTGGTGTGGGTTGCGCTGGTGTTGCTACGCGTGGGTCGTGCTGGTCACTGTGTTGCTGCTGGTGGCGCTGGATGCTGCTGCCTGCGGGTGGGTGGTGCTGGTCACTGATATGGTGTGCTGTGTGGCGCTGGTGCTGCTTGGAGTAATACTGCTGGTGCCGTCGATGCTGTAAACCAGTTGTGATGATGGTAGCGCTGATGCTGATGCGAGTGGGTGCTGGTGCTCGTGGTGGTGTCGCGTTGGCTGGTGCTGCTACGCGTGTCGTGCTGGGTCACTGTGGTGTGCTGGGTTTGGCGCTGGTGCTGCTGCGCGTGGTGGTGCTGGTCACTTGTGGTGCTGTGGGTGGCGCTGGTGCTGCTAAGCGTTGTACTGCTGGTTGCCGTCGTGCTGGAAGCAGTTGTACTGCTGGTTGCGCTGGTGCTGGTGCGCGTGGCACTGCTGGTTGCGCTGGTGCTGCTGCGCGTGGTGCTGCTGG